GAGGTAATAACATTACATTTATAGTGAAGATAAGGGGTGACGAGATATGCTTGGCTCTTTGCACGTGGTCATAATTGACTATATGTAAACTCTTTATGATAATGCAAAATGATAATGTAAGCACTTTGTGATAACGCAAACTGAAAATATGGACTCTATGATAATGCAAACTGATAACGCAAAGCCTTGATAATGGAAATTGATAAATGTAAACCCTTCTGATAACGCATATGACAATGTGAACTCTATGATAATGTAAACTGATAATGTAAACCATTTATGACAATGCAAACTGATAATGTAATTTTTTTTTCTAATCGTAACTGATAATGTAAGCTTTGATGACCGGCATTTTCCTTACGTTTTATTGTTTATTATAGAGACAACAATGCAGTGAAGACGTCTATTTCTGGATCTCCACCTAAAATTACGATTAAAAAAGGTAAGTAGCATTTCCTTCATTTATTATTAATGATACATATGTACAGCATACCAGAAAGCTGAAACAAGTGGTGATTGAATTTGTTGAATCATTCAGCATTGTATGAAGAAAGTACATTTAATTTAGTTATGCACAAAACAGCTCTCTTCTAAAAACAAGTCACCTCTCTCAGCACTTGAAAACAAAAGAACCCGTCGACCATACCTAACACGCATGTTTCTAGCTGCAACACTGCTGGCCAGTTGTTAACCAATGAGATACCAGTACTTCCCCTCATGTTGTTGAAACAAAAGCTATCAGCCAATCATATTACTGTCTACGCGCAAGAGGCAATGTGATTGGCTGGCAACTTTCATTCCAACAACAGAATGTATCTGATTGACTAACAGCTCGTGAGTACATATATACACCTGGCCTGAATCACAACTTTGCTAGCTTTCGCTAACTCTTTTAATATCTTGATGCAAACTGACTGGTATTTTGGGCTACGTTGCACACGGGTCTTTGTAATCTTTGCGAGAAGCAAAAACATGCAGAAGCACAAGATTTTCCTGCTGTTGATGTTCTCTTCACTTGTCGTCGCATGTTTATCCCAACCAACTGAATCCTAAATGCACGTTGCCACCAAAATGAATTGGGACAAGGCAACCATGTAGCCTGAATTGTGTTAGAATATAAAACGGTCAAGTTGATGCAGTGTATGAATTCACAATTTTATAAAAAGGACAAATTGTCATAAAAATTGATAATGTATTTTATATCGTTCTCCTCTGATTTTTACCGCAGGGTCAGATCCTTTAGCCAATCGCAGACGGTGTGTCCGGGGACTGTTCACTCCAGAGATATCTGGGTTCTATCGGGGGGACAGATGGAACTCTCTCGTCTGTAACAACAGACATTTCTCCAGCCAAGCCGACTGGCGGAAATGTCTAAAGGGCAAAACTTTGTACTTTATAGGAGACTCTACTATACGGCAATGGTGGGAACATTTGGTCAGCATCTTGAAAATGACTGAAACGCATATTCCGGAGGCCGTACACAACACTGGACCACTGCTTGCCAAAGATCGTGTAGATAACATAACGGTTAACTTTCGTATCCATGGACCGCCTCTTCGTGCTGGTTTTACTCGGACGACTCTGTTGAAGTACGCCGCTAACGCCATTGATGACATTAAAGGAGGAGCGAATGATGTGGTCGGTATTACCTTATGGGCCCACTTCACTTCGTTTCCTGTGCACGTTTACAAGAAAAGGATAGAAGCCGTCCGTGCTGCAGTAGAACGGTTACTCCGCAGGAGTCCTGAAACACTCGTGGTCATCAAGTCGGCAAACACACGCATGGGCAATGAGCTGATCAGCGGGGATTGGCTGGCGCACAAGCTGGACTTAATGATGAGAGAAACTTTCCGCGGGATGGACGTTGTGCTCGTAGATGCCTGGGAAATGACAAATGCACAGCACTGGCACGGGGATAATATTCACCCTGTCAAGGAAATCGTCCTACAAGAACTAGAGTTTCTCTGTTCTTTTATTTGTCCCCTGTGAACCCAGACTGAAACCAGAGTGTCTATCTGAAGTACTTTCTATATCCACAGTGCACTGTTCTCTGCACGGTAACTCAAAACAAAATTCTTGGAACATATATTACTTCAATACTAACACTATTTCTATTTGTGCCCTTTTCATCTTTTGGGTAAGGAATGTGGACTCTCGCTTCATCAAGACAATTCGACTCTTTGTTCTTTTTTTCATGTATTCTTGGTTCAGCCCCTGAACTAGTTATTAGTATTGGGGGCAATGAGCTGGAAAAGGTTGACTACTACAAATATCTTGGTGTAGTACTAGACTCAAACCTAAGTTACAATGACCACATTCAGACTACCTGTAACAAAGTGGCCCAACGTCTCGGCCTGCTGAGACGTTTAAGGCCGTACTTAACCACTGATATTGCATGTCTGTTGTATAAAACTCTAGTTCTACCCATTTTTGAATATTGTGATGTGGTTTGGGATAGTTGCAATGCTACCTCCAAACAGCAACTTCAACTCCTCCAGAACAGGGCTGCCAGGATAATCCTAAAAATGGAACTACGCTCGAGTGTAAGCGAACTACACCAGACACTGGGTTGGAGACCACTAGAGGAAAGGAGGACCCACCATACCTGTACAATGGTCTACAAGTGTCTACATGGACTTGCACCTGATTACCTGCTACACTGTTTCAGCTACAACCACCAAACACATCAGTACAACACAAGACAAGCAAATCTACTGCGTAAACCCAAATACACAAACAGAACTGGACAGAGAACATTTAAGTACAGAGCAGCTTCAGCCTATATATATAACTCGCTTAACACGGTAACTAAACAGGCATCAACAATAAATGCCTTTAAAGTAGCGCTAAGAACATATGACCTCTGACCCTGACCTCACGGACAACCGACTGTCATTATTTGACAATACGACTTTGCCTAACGATTTTGACTATTTGTTTTGGTTGTTCCGTTGTGTTTGTATGATTGATTACGTGTACCCTCTGTTTATATCATTTATTGTCATTTGCTACGATTGATCATTTGATTAATCTGTTTTTATTTTGTTTAATTTTATTGTATTCCATGTTGTCCATTGTGTATGTTCTGTTGGGCTACCTTGGAAATCAGTCTTTCAGAGACTGAAGGTACCACCCAACTGTTTTTAAGAGCAATAAATAAATAAATAAATTCTTGGTTAGTGTTTTGCATTGTTTAGTAATATTAGTTTTATTCGTATAGGTGGCGGCGCTAACATAAGTTACCTAACTTGAGCCCGTCGTCACTTTGCCCTGTACCCTTATTTTGTTTATTGTATGCTGGATAAAAAAATGTGAATATGGTCATTGATTTTTAGTCCAGGACTCCTGATTTGTATTTAATGTCGACTTCCAGAAATACACAATGCAGAAGGTAGCAAGACAGAAATACTCCCTGTCAACTAGAGCAGTTGCTATTAGCTACAAAGTAAAAATAACTTATAAACGGCACAAGATAAAATACTAGATACTGTAAGAACAGAAATAAGAAGAAAATCATACATTTAAGTCACTACAAATCTCTAAGTATAACTATAATGTACTACCGGCTGAACTCTGACCCCACTAAGTCAGTGACCTCTCAGTGTACAAATCTCTGCCAACCTTCATCCTGTAACCATGGTTCCAATTGCTTAGCAACAGGTATGGCTGGGTCAGAGGTCAACTCCAAGGTCATCACCAGTTCATGTGCTGAGATCAAGTGTTTTGTGTTAAGACTTTGCTGTTCCATATACAGTGCACCCCCCCCCTCCATCCTACATTTAACCACCACTCGGCAAAGCACTGCACAATGGCATCAGGTAGCTCACTCATTTGGGAAGTAGGGTGGCTGTTGGAACTGCAGATTTCGTTATCCCAACTCTCAGTAGAGGTAGGGAGGGGTAAGCAGCTATAGGAAGAGCTAGGAGCTTGTTGTCTATACCATTGCATATCATGGGTTTCAAAAGGCCTCCGAATAGCCTGGTATCCAGTCTGATTCGTGGTCGGGGCCGCAAGAGCTCTGGCCCGCCCGCCTCACATAAGCGTCCCGGTGTGTATTTCACGAGAGATTAATTAGCCCTCCACGAAACCAAATCCCCGAGCATACTGTCTCTAATTAGCGTAACACTCCTACCGGGACGGTCTGTTGCACTGGGCGGGGGAAGGTCTTAGAGGCCCCGAAGACACAATCTGCCTAAACACCCCAATACCCCCAATCACGATCAGACTGGATACCAGGCTAGCCTCCGAACAGAGCAACGGTTTGATTGGTTGGCATCAAAAGTATCAACAGGAATCTGCACAAAACTAGTACTTCTCGGCTGAGACAAAAATATGTTTAGACTAGCCTAGCCTCTACCAGGCTTCGGGAGGCGGCTAGAAAGAGTAGAAATCGGCCAAATAGAGAGATAACATGCCAGGGGAGTTTGTCTGCTGGGAGAGAATATTTTGCCGCACCCAAATATTCTATCCCAGCAGAAAAACTCTCCTGGCATGTTTTTTTCTCTATTTGGCCGATTCTACTCTTTCTAGCCGCCTCCCGATGCCTGGTAGAGGCTATGTTCAGACCGTCATGGTAGGCAACTCGTAACCTATATGGATTCGTAACCATATATATTTATGAAAACTACTTGTTTACTTCACTATCGCAGAGTGGAACTCACTGTCACCAAGTACAGTAGGGGCACTGTCAATAGATAGCTTTAAACAATGTCTAGAGCTAGAAGTTCAAGGGTTAGGTGTAACAAGTCGATCGGTGTAATATAGCCAGCTGCCGCCGCGCCGCGTGCCTGCGAAGCTGGTGTGTTACGCCGAAAGGCGGTTATACCGGCTATACAGATACAGATACAGATACTATAACTGCCTTGGTATGAATTTAAGAAATTAAAGAATAGTTAGACTCTCTCCACGAAATTATTTGAATATTCTCGTAAGGTGTACGTGTAGAACAAAGTTTTAAAGAGGTTGTCTGATAGAATATAAACCATACCATATTTTTTTGTCAATGGACACAGCAACGACAAAACATGGTGTCCATCAAAGATATTTATTCGATCAATCTTGATTTGCAAAATCATGCTCAAAGCTTAATTGCTTTTACAGAGTCAAAAATTGTACAATACAAAAAATAGGAAACACACAACTACTATCTGAAAAAGTCTACTATTAGGCTTGCGATTATGTTTGACTTCTTTTTCGAAGGCAGTGGATAATGAATTGACCCACATTCTGTATAATGAGTGGGTTTTGTGATCTTGGTAGAAACGCAGTCTTTTGATTATCTTCTAAATGAAGAAAAAATGTAGAAATAATGGCAATTGTTTATAATAATCTGTTTCTTTCGGTCTCATAGTGAAGACACTGACTAACAAAATGTATTTCATTTTCCACTGCATTCGTTTGGCAATATTTGCATATAGTCTATCGTGCACGTGTAGTTTTCTATAGTGGCCCCTTTCTATCTCTATAGTGGGTGTATATGTGTGATTTGTGATATCTATGTAACGGCAACTTGAAAATGCAATTTTTTTCTAACAAACACCCTACAATACAATGAAAATGGACTTAAAACGACCATGAAATGTTTAAATACACGGAAATCACAAAATTAAATGGATAATGAGACTTGTTCAGTGATCCGAAATTTTAAATAAAAAAAGTTACATATAATAAAATACTACGCTTATCTTGTGCTTCTCACAATGCTCTCCTTTACATAGTCTCTAGTATCCAACCGCCATTATCATAATTATTATTATAATATATTGATATAGTATAGTAATATAGTATAGTATAGTATAGTATAGTATAGTAAAGTATAGTATGGTAATGTAGTATTACAGTATAGTAATAGTATTTGTTACTAAATTTAGTTAGGATTTCATGCGTACAATTCATATTTTTCAACGCATGTTTATCTCCTTTTGGTACCATAAGTAACATGTTAAAGGTTATATCATTAGACATAGCTGTATCTGATTAAAATAATGCATTAAAATTAGCTCCTAATTAGCATAACTAACATATTATTACTTTAATGGATAATTCATATGAAAGAAATAAACATATCCACAGATTGAAAAAAAAACTATGACACTGCCTACTTGCGAAGTCCTAGAAAAGATGTCCCCTTTATTAAAAAAAAGTTACTAGGGGTCCTAAATGCCATTTCTTTACGAAGTGAAGTATAGCACGTCTGCACAACTACTTGGGTAAAGCGACGGTCACAACTCGCCGTGCGTGCTTCTGCGTGATGTCTACGTGCAAAAACGTGGGCAAACGTAGGGCATCCGTGCGTGGTGAGTACCGCCTTTCAGTAAGAGGATATATCCTCTTTCCTTCCAGTGAGAGGATATATCCTCTAGCCTTCCAGTAAGAGGATATATCCTCTTGCCTTCCAGTGAGAGGATATATCGTCTTGCCTTCCAGTGAGAGGATATATCCTTTAGCCATCCAGTAAGAGGATATATCATCTTGCCTTCCAGTGAGAGGATATATTCTCTAGCCTTCCAGTGAGGGGATATATCCTCTTGCCTTCCAGTGAGAGGATATATCCTCTTGCCTTCCAGTGAGAGGATATATCCTCTTGCCTTCCAGTGAGAGGATATATCGTCTTGCCTTCCAGTGAGAGGATATATCCTCTTGCCTTCCAGTGAGAGGATATATCCTCTTGCCTTCCAGTGAAAGGATATATCCTCTTGCCTTCCAGTGAGAGGATATATCCTCTAGCCTTCCAGTGAGAGGATATATCCTGTAGCCTTCCAGTGAGAGGATATATCCTCTGGCCTTCCAGTGAGAGGATATATCCTCTAGCCTTCCAGAGAGAGGATATATCCTGTAGCCTTCCAGTGAGAGGATATATCCTCTAGCCTTCCAGTGAGAGGTTATATCCTCTAGCCTTCCAGGGAGAGGATATATCCTCTAGCCTTCCAGTGAGAGGATATATCTTCTAGCCTTCCAGTGAGAGGATATATCCTGTAGCCTTCCAGTGAGAGGATATCGATATATCCTCTTGCCTTCCAGTGAGAGGATATATCCTCTTGCCTTCCAGTGAGAGGATATCGATATATCCTCTAGCCTTCCAGTGAGAGGATATATCATCTTGCTTTCCGGTGAGAGGATATACCTGTATCATCTAGCCTTCCAGTGAGAGGATATATCCTCTAGCTTTCCAGTGAGAGGATATATCCTCTAGCCTTCCAGTGAGAGGACATATCCTTTGCCTTCCAGTGAGAGGATATATCCTCTAGCCTTCCAGTGAGAGGATATATCCTCTGGCCTTCCAGTGAGAGGATATATCCTTTAGCCTGCCAGTGAGAGGATATATCCTCTAGTTTTCCAGTGAGAGGATATATCATCTTGCTTTCCGGTGAGAGGATATACCTGTATCATCTAGCCTTCCAGTGAGAGGATATATCATCTAGCCTTCCAGTGAGAGGATATATCCTCTAGCCTTATTGCGCATTCCTTATCCGTTCTTTTCTTTGTTGTTCGTGTTAGTGTGTTTTCCTTTTCTTCCTTTTCTGTTTCTTTTTCACTTGTTTAGACTTTTTGGCGGCTTTGAGCCTTTTTAGATACATTCCCCGCTCGCTCTCATATTTGAAAGTTGGATGTCCATCCACGATTGCTCTCATGTTTATTCTTTCGGTCACAAGTTTCCACCGACCATCCTTCCGTCCTTTTTGTAAAGGAGTCAAAAGTTCTTTCACCTATATAAAAGATAGAAACAAGAAATTTAGGACTGAAGACCTCTTAAAATGTAATAATGAGAGAAAGAGAATTCAATTGTATACAAGATTATTTTCCTAGGTTTAGAATTTTAGAAAACAAAAATTCACATTCCTCATGAAACTCGATAATCCTCGTACTATAAACTCCATCTGCTCTTACATTTACAACTGTCTTAAGAAGCGAGAAGAAGCAGAACCTGTATAAATGTAGTTTAACTATAGATATATTTTAGTCTACCATCGCTATTTGTCGTGACCTGTACTTAGTTCGCAATTGAGCAAAAATGTGCAATAAAGGTCTTTCATTCACTAATTGTGGACAATTGGGCTGGATTCCACAAGAAAGTAGCCTATGATAAAACAGAAATCTAAGCGATATTTTACAATATTTTCTGCTTTTTTGTGCTACCTTTGACCTAAATTTCTGTTTGTGTCTCCAAAGTCTTGGCGATCTTCCTATCGGTCTGCGGTTACACCATTCCCCCCTCACGTCTTGTGACTCTAATTGCCCAGATGGTCATCAAAACGTCGACTCTTGTTAACACAAGTGGTTGTATATAAACCATGTATCACTAGTTCTATTTGCTCGAACATCTATAACTGCGTCAAGAAGCAAGAAAAAGTCGAACAATGTAAATAGTAGATCACATTAGTATATATTGTTTAAGTATCATTACTTTATCATTTTCCTTGTCTATACATGACCTGTACTTAGCTTGTTAGAGCACAAACGTACAATAAAGGTCTTTCATTCATTCATTCATTCATTCATTCATTCATTTATTCATTCATTCATTCATTCATTCATTCATTCATTCATTCATTCATTCATTCATTCATTCATTCATTCATTCATTCATTCATTCATTCATTC